TGGAAAACAAAAATATGCTCAATTTTTTCCAAACTTTTATTATATGCAGGTGTAAAATGACATTTCAACAAATATAAGGAAAGCAAGTAAAACATAGGAAAAATTAAAGACTTACAAATATATCACATTGGGAAATGTTGTTATACTCATAATTCTTTATCTCTTTGTAATTGTAATGAAATAACATTTATGAGAGAAATTATATTCCTCATATTAAATGCCTATATGCACACCTTGAACAAATTAAGTTTAATGTGACCAAAGATTTTAATGTGACCAAAATAAAATAAAAAATACTCCTAACTGAAAAGCATATAGCAAAACTTGTGATTCAATCTGAGAAAGCTGACTGAAACATAAAATGGTATGAAATTTCATCACAGAAGTGCTTGGAAGTACTTATAGTCTTGATACAAAAATTAGAAAAAAAAGTTTGAAAATTAACAAATGAGCTATGTAATGAAACAAAACCAAAGAAATTAGAAGGAAATAAAATGCCAAGCTTATTAAGCATGGAATTTAATTATTAAAAAAAACTTATAAGGGTTTAACAAAGCCAAAAGTTGACTTAATATTTACAAACTTCTGGTAATATTGATGAAGAATAAAAGACAGATGAATACATGAAAAACTTTAAAAATAAGAAACAGAATTTAACTATTGAAAGTATAAATTGGAAGGTTAATGAAAAAATAATGTGAACAAATTCATGGAGTAGAAATTAGAAGGTTAATGAAAAAATAATACAAACAAATTCATGCCAAAAAATGGAAATAAGTAAAATGAACAAATCCTTAGAAAACAAAATTTACACAAGAAAAAATAGAAAACCTGATTAGAATTATAATCATAAAAAGAATCAAATTTAAAATTTTAAATATTTCCACAAAGAAAATACCAGGCTCAGAATGTTTGTAGACAAATACTACCATTCATGATATATAATTCTGTAACACAAACTCTTCTAGATAATAGGGAAAGGAAGCATTCTTCAATTTATTTCACGATGTCATAACTCTAATGCCAAAATTAGATAAGGACCAGAAAGGAAAACATACACAAAAAATGCATGGATGCAAAATTCCTAACCCCAATATCAGTAGACTATATCCATTTGTGAGTAAAAAGATGATGTGCCACGCTAAGTTAGATTTATTCTCAAAAATCAAGGAAGGTTTAGTTTTAAACTTCTTGGTTTCCAAACAAGATGGTGAATTAGTATGAGTTTCTTTTTCCCCATGGTAACTCTGGAGAACCTCCCAAAATGAGGTGAGATTATTGATATGATGAATCAACATTACTACTATGAGAAAGCCTGAGAAAGCAGATTTGAACCGGTGCAAGCTGGCCTGTGGCAAAATATTTTGGTGTGTGTGTGTGTGTGTGTGTGTGTTGTGTTTTTTTGTTTTGTTTTTTACAAAACTCAAGTTTGGAGCAGCCAGACACTGCAGTGAGAAGATGGCGTTGGAGAATAGTTTATAGCTTATACTTTTCTTCCTCCCATACAATTGCTTTGGGATGATCTCTGTCTGCCACATAAGATTTATCCATACATGATCACCAAAAGCCCAGGCTAGATGATGTCAGCTGTGTCTAGCAGCACAGCATTTAAGCCAATTACAAGGAGAAGTTGACGGAAAGAAGTGCAGACTAATCAGATATCCCCCCTGCTACTTCCAAACCCTCAGGTAAGGAGAGATGTTTCCAGCTTCAGCTTAGATACATGTATAGAGCATGGAGGTCATCATTCACATCCTCACAGTAAGCAAAAAGCTAAACAAACTGAAAACCAGTGATTCCTCTTAGATCTATCAGATAGCTGAGGTCACAGGACACATTGCCACCCTGAAAACTGGAGAGGCAGGTGGATACAGAGAATCACACGCAAGACAAGCTAACCAGGAGCAGAAGCTTCTGGAGCCAGTAACTGGTAGGAACACTTACATGGTGATTGACATATTGTAGGAGGCAGATCATGGACTGGCTTAAGAGTAAGACTGGGGCCACAGTTTTAGGGAGGTTTACCTCCAGGAACCCCACCAGGTTTTCACAGTGAAATCAGAGAAAAATCCCTTTGTGCTTCTGGCAGAGGTAGGAGAAAAGTAACCATTTTGAAATATGCCTGGGGAAAGTAACTATTTTGAAATATGCCCAGAGTGTTCTCTGAAACAAAGGCTTGCCTTCAAGAGCAATGCCTTACTAAAAATTTTTCTGACTTGGAAGAAAGGCAATTAGACAACTCCACCCCCTCACTTAGGAATGGGGAAAAAAAGCTAAGAAGTGCCTCTGAAGATCACATACCAGGGACCGAAACCCATTAAAAACTTGAAATTTAATTATATTATAGATTATTATATACCTCCTCTCCTCAACACGTATTACCATATCAATAGGACTCCAGAAGAATGACAGCGGACTGCAACTAAGAGAGCTGCAGGACTCCCTTTAAGAAGGAACTCTTCTTAAACATGCTCTACTTAAGAAGAAATTCTTAGGGATCCCAAAGACAACAGGGAAGCAATAAATTAAAACAAAACAAACACACACACACACACACGGAAACTAGACGAAACTGAAGCCTATGGCACCTGCAGCTACAACAAACATTAAGCACAGCCTAGCTTCTAGAGATTAACATGAAAGCTTGCAGTAAAGGTCTGATTACCTCAGTTCCTATTAACAGACACAGCATGTTCAGCTTTCAACAAAAAATTACACAACATGCTAAAAGGCAAAAAAAAAAAAAAAAAAAAAAAAAAAAAANTCTGAAGAGATAAAGCAAGCATCTGAATCAGACTCAGATATGACAGATTTTAGAGTCATCAGATAGCAAAGTTAAAATAACAACAATTAACATATTAAGGGCTCTAATCGAATACATAGGCAACATGCAAAAACTGATGGGTAATATAAAAAGAGACATAGAACTCTAAAAAAAAAAAAAGAAGAAAATGCTGGAAATGAAAAATGCTCGCAAAAATGAAGAAGAATGCCTTTGATGGGCTCATCAGTAGACTAGACAGGCCCAAGGAAAGAATCAGTGAGCCTGAAGATAGGTCAGTAGAAACTGACATGCAAAGGTGAAAAAGAATGGGAAAAAAGAAACAGTGCCTTCTTATGCACTCTTTTGTCTGCCTGCAACAAGTCCTGTCTCTCAGCTGCTCCAAGATCTCTGCCTAATGATCCTTACTCAAAAAAGCATGCTCTGACCTCATACCATGCTCTGGAGTAGATACCAGTCTCTACTGAATACTTTTATAATAAATAGTCTGTAGTTTTCCTTAATAGCATTTAACAAAATTGTAATTTAAGGATTATTTTTGTGTATGTACACTACCATCCATGATTGAGAAAATGATACTAGACTAGCCTATCCAAGAGAAAGAAACCGTACATCTAGAAAAAAAATATATTTTTTCCAGATGATAAACAGCATGCAATACAGAACTCTAATCCCCAAGGGAAGGGAAACAAAAGTGAGCCCTCAATACCTCTGACTTTCTATCTGGAGGAACTTTCCAGACCAGTGACATTAGTTGTTTGATGAGTTGAGAACATTGCAAGCAATGTCAATAGTCAAATAATATGGCAAATGATTTTAAGTGGTTTTCCTTGGCTCTTGATGAGTCAATGATGTTAGTGATACTACTCAGTTGTTGTTGATGCATTAATATCATTTGAAATGACTGAATAATTGGCCTCTATAAATAGATTGTGTGGAACCAACCACAAGCAAGAATATTTTCAAAGAAAATATTAATTTAGTAAACCCAAAGTGAAATCTGCAAAAATGTGTTCCAACTGCTGGTAGTAAAAATATGTAAAGAACTTTTTTTTTTTTGAGACACAGTCTCACTCTGTCACCCAGGCTGGAGTGCAGTGGCATGATCCTGGCTCACTCCAACATCTGCCTCCTGGGTTCAAATAATTCTCGTGCCTCAGCCTCCCAAGTTGCTGTGATTACAGGCACATGCCACCATGCCCAGATAATTTTTGTATTTTTAGTAGAGACAGGGTTTTGCCATTTTGGCCATGCTGGTGTTGAAATCCTGACCTCAAGTGATCCACCTGCCTTGGCTTTCCAAAGTGCTAGGATTACAGGCATCAGCCACTGCACCTGGCCTAAAGAACTTTACTGAGGCTTGTTTAGACAAGTTTACCAAGCTTGCACAAATTTAAGGTGTTTAAAACCTGTGGTATTCATCAGCAGGAAATATGTAAGTCTGTCTTATTTGAACAAGTAATGTCAAAAGTGAACTTCATTTGCTCTTACGGACTTAACTATTGTCAGCTCTGTGATTTTTTTTTTCCCCAGAAATAGAAGCCAAATATCCTGACTAGCTCTGTCACACAGCAGTTTAATGACTTAGCAGTAATAAACCTTGACTACAATTTTTTAAGCTCAGGGCTGGGCATGAAATTTTTCTGAATAAGAACTTTGTTCAAACCACTATTATTAAACATGGAATGGCTAGAAACTAGCTTTTGCTGCAAAGTTTATGTTTCTTAATGAATTCAACCTAACATTTCAAGGCAAATCAGAGCTTATATGCAAAGCTTATTCTGCTGCAAAGTCATTTCAATGACAACTAATATTTGAATCACAAGTAATGTGAAAATGCTTTACATATTTCACATGCTGTCCAAGTTTAAAATAAATGATATCTCCACTCTCACAAATATTTTCCACACATATGGATTCTGAGCACAAACTCCAGTTCCAACAGCATTTTTAGATCATAATGCAAATGCAAAAGATGCAAATGCAGAAGAAATATACATATTTCAAAATTCACTTAACAGTACAACTGAAGAGCGTCCACCCAACCCTTCTGATTAGTCTGCAATGTAACACTGTGCTGACAGGCAAACGCCCAAAGAATCTGATGAAATTCTGTAAATGACTTCCAAGCCATGAATATGCCCAATTGAATAATACGCTTATGGACAGATATCAGCATTAGAAAATGCCTATCAGGGTAAAAGAACATTTCCAAAGATGAAATACATAAAATTTTTATTACAGATTGGCATTAACAGATAAGCATTTGCAGTAGGCTGTTTACAACAAACTTTAGTGAGATAGAATTCACATACCATGCAATTCACCCATATAAAGTGTACAATCTTTATATAAATTCACATACCATGCAATTCACCTATATAAAGCCTTGTAGTATATTCAGAGTTGTGGAATAATTCACATGATTTTAGAACATTTTCATCATTCCAAAAAGAAACTCCACATCCATTAGCCATCGGCCCACATTTCCTCCAAATCTCTAAAGCCCTTGGAGATCAATAATCTACTTTGTCTCTACAGATGTGCTTATTCTGAAAATCACATATAAATGGAACTACACAATATGTGGTCCTTTGTTACTGGCTTCCTTCACTCAGCATGTTTTCAAGGTTGACTCATGTTGTAGCATTTATTTATTCAGTGTTTTATTTCTTTTTATTGACAAACAATGTTTCATTATACAAATATGCCACATTTCACCTATTCATTCATCAGTTGATGAACACTGGGTTGTCTCCACTTTCTATTATGAATAACGCTACTATGAACATTCATGTACACATATAAATGTTTGTTTTCATTCTCTTAGGGATAAATTTAAGAGTGGAATTGCTAAGTCTCATGATTACACTATATTTAATCTTTGAAGTAAATTCCAGTCTGTGTTCCAAAGAGGCTGCACCATTTTATACTCCCACCATCAATGTGTGTGGGTTCCAATTTTTCCACATCCTTGTCAACTCTTATTAATTTTTATTAAATATTATAATGAGCTTCATCATTGGAAGGTGTTTTCCAGGGAATTCTCTAAATTTGATCTTTGCTCAGAAGCAATTTCTTAATTTTAGCATATCCTGTTGCCTTGATGAGACTATCTCCAAAACCATCAAGCCCTGGATCCTTTTTGTTTAATGGTCTTTCCTATAGTTTTTAATCTCTCCTCATATTTCACTATAATCAAGAAGCCAGATGGCACCTTCCATACTCTGCCAGGAACTCTCTCTAGTGAGATCATATTAGGCACATGTTTTAATTTCAGTCTGCCACTACATAAGTTCTTCCTTCCTCCAGTTTCCAGTAACACTTACCTTACTTTTCTAAAAGTCCTCATCTACAGCCTTGTCAAGGACTATGATGCTTCTACAAGTAATTTCTTCAAAGCACTTTAGGTTTTTACCAGCACATGCCTACTTAACACCCACTGCCAAGTTCCAGATCCACTCCCATATTTTGGGTTTTCATTATGGCAACTCATCTCTAAGTACCAAGTTCTGTGTTAGTTATCTATTGCTGCTTAATAAATTACCCTAAAACCTACTGGTTAAAACACTTACTAACCCAGAGTTTCTGGGGGTTAAGAAGCCAGAAGTGAGTGGTTTAGCTAGGTCTTTCTGGCTCAGCATCTCACATGAGGTTATGGGCAAGTAGTTGGCTATGGCTGCAGTCTTATTTGAAGGCTCAGGTGAAGGATCTACTTCTAAGCTCACTCACATGGTAGCTCGAAGGCCAGTTTCTTGCTGGCTGTTGGCCATGAGCTTCAGTTATTTACGACATGGAACTCTCCATAGGCTAAGTGTCCTCACAATATGGCAACTGGCTTCCCAAAGGTCAAGTAATTCAAGAGAGTGCATGGCTATGCAGAAGCCACAGTCTTTTCATAATCCAATCTTTTAAGTGACATGGCCTCACTTCTATCATATTCTATCAGAAATGAGTCAAATTATTATTTTCCTGCTGAAACAATTGACATTTCCATCCATTTCTGGAATGGTCACACTTTCTGAAACATTTTTATAATATCTACTTTAAAGTCTTTCTCATAATTCCAACATCTGTGTCATCTTGGGGTTACTGTCTGTTGTGTCTTTCCTTTGAATTTTTGGAAATTTCCTGATTCATGTATTTCATGTGATTCTGCCTTGCATCTTGGACGTTTTGAATATTATGAGCCTCTGGGTATTTAATTCTTCTGGAAAATGTTAGGGTATTTTTTCCAGCAGTCAATTTAACTGGCTGGTCTTGGTCACCAGTTCCAATCCATCTCCTGTGGGCTGTGGTTCTAATGTCAGTCCGGTTTTCTAAGTATCTTCAGTGCTATTTGGATTTGTCTTATATGCCCAATGTCAGACCTGAACAATTATCGGGTCAGATCTACACATATATAGAACAGATCGCATAAACAACTGTATGAGATCACTTTCTTGAGCTTCCTTATCTTTCACGACCTTGATGCCTTCCAGATCTCAGGAACCACTTCCTCTTCCTGGTCTTCAAATTAGAAACCCAAGGGTTTAGGTTCTCCTCTCTGCTAATACACCTCATCGATACATCACCTCCAGTTCCAAGGAGCAGGGAGATAGTGAGGGAAGAAAAGCAATGGGGATTCTCCTAACCCTTTTTGGCCCACAGATCCTCCAACAAGAGTGAAGGGTTCCTAACTCTGAGGTATAGATGCCTGCTCAGCCATCACTGTCCTCACCACAAGAATGCCCAGGAGTGCCACAATGATCTTGTTTCAAATTATAGCCTGTTACCATTACTTTTGAGAGTTCCCAGACAGCTGCTCCATGCATTAGTTACATTTAGCATGAAAGATAAAGTGGGGCATGCTCATTCCATTTAAAGTGGAACCAGTACCACCCAAAGTTACTTTCTTTCCATTGATTACAACCCTGGAAGATAAACTCTCAAACAGGAACTTCCTAAGAATATAAACGGAGAATTCTGATTGAAAGATTAATATTCATTACTTTATCCAATCAATTTTTTCCATTTTTATTAAAAATTTACACATATAGAAAAATTTTTTAAATGACCAATGAACATCTCTACATCCACCACAAAAAAAATTGACTAATTTTGTACATATTTATTTGAAAATATGCTGCAGACATCATGACGTTTCAAACCCAAAAAAAACTTCTGCATGCATCCCCTAAGAATTAGAACATTATCCTATATAACTCAATTATCACTTCTAGAAAAATCAAACATACCACATTTTCTAATACCCATTCCATCTTCGTATTTCCCCAAATATCCCCCCACATGTCTTTTATAAGTTGTTGTTGTTTTTTTTTTATGAATCAGAAGCTAATAAAGGATCAAACTTTCTATTTGGTTATGTCTCTTGTCTTAATTTAGAAGAGACCACTTTTTGTTTTATTACATTTACTTTTTGAAAAGTTTAGACCAGTTGTTCTGTACCAACTCTGGATTTGTCTATTTCCATACTGTGTAATTTAACTTGTTCCTCTATTCCTTGTATTTCTTTAAACAGGAAGATAAGTCTAGGTAAGAGATTTAATTAAATTTGGGGTAAACATTTTTGACAGTACATCAAGGATGATCACATATGCTTCATACTGAATCCCATCATGAGCCACATAATGTTGGCTTATTCCAGAAGGAGTGAAATGAAGTTTGACAGCCAAATCTTTTGTAAAGGCAATTCTGTGGTAATAGGTATCTGTGATCTTCTGAAACTTTTTAAACCAAGTTCCTTAAAACTTTTTTCACCTAATGGGTTTTACTATACATTTTTGCCAGATTTAATTACATTAAGGGTTGTAAAATGGTAATTTTTTCAAATCTATCATTCTGTGTACATTTAAAAGAAGACATACTTCAAATAATTTTATAAAGTTTTTTTCTCTATTTTCATCATTATGAACTTCCTTCTTAATATTATTAGCAGTATCAGTGATTATTCTTTTATTTTAAGTTGTCCTATATTTGGCTAGTTGGCACCTGTCCCCTTCTGACATTACCCTATTAGTCTTCAAATACTATCTAGCTTTTCATTTTCTTAAGAAAAAAATTTTGTCACATCATCCACTTCCCCTGCTCCAAACATGGAATCAGCTATTTCTGCAAGGAACCCTGGTTCTTTTTAGTGGGGAATGCCACTTAGAAACCAAAATTTGGATACTAAGCAAGCTCACCATTATTGGGTACAATGTTAAATATTGAGGTCTGTTTAAACACCTCATTTTCTTTGTAATGTATTTAAATTCATAAAACAATTACTTTCTGATAAGCTAAAACCAGTCAATTAAAAAATATACTATTCTGAATGCTTGAGTTTAATTCTGTATCTTTCTCAGAAGGTCTAGCTAATTGTATTAGAATCATTTTTTTTTAATGATACCAACTGTTAATTGAATGAAAGTCAAATATAAAATTGGAGGAGAAAGGCCTGGAGGGGAATTAAACATTTAAAATTATGAAAAGAATGCTTAACAATAAATTCTTCATATATAACTTTACACAAAATAGTTCCTAAAATATGTGTAATAAGAAGGCAGCCTTATAGGTGAAGCCTCCAAAAACACACTCTCTGGAGCTCAGCTAGCTTTAAGGATTTAAGTACAAGTATAATAAAAGCAAGCATAATTAGGGACTCATAAGAAAAAAGAATATAGCTGTGAGTCAATTATTAAGATTAAGGTGAGAGGAAACCCTAAAAGATAAAACAATAACTTTAAATTACTGCAACTATGTCTAACCAGGCTACAAAACAAATAGTTCTCTTGGAACCTCAGGTTGGAAATGAGCCTATAATTATCTCAAAACACCAGAACTGAATACCTAGATTCTAGTCTTGACTCTGTTCATTAAGTTCAAATTCTTCTTTTAGTACAATGAAAGGTTATAATTAAACGAAAATCTCTCCTGGCTCTAATGAGCTACCAGACATGTAGCCTGAGATTCTGCCAAATATATACCTTCTGCAACAGATAACAAAGTATGTGCATGACAGTCTTTCTAACTGCTTCAGTTAATGCACCTTCTATGGTACTATAATAGTACTCTGTTCAGTTATATAAAACCACAACAAATTAAAAAATAACAGAAGAAAGTAAAAGAAACAGAGTCTACATTTGGGCATAATTCCAAGAACTAAATTCTAAACTAATAAAACTACATTTTTTAATAATAAAGGACTTTTGAAAAAATGTTTCGCAAAGCTGCATGTGTATGTGTATCTACACACACACACACACACACGTGTATATATGTTTGTTTACACATATAAGTTGCTGGTGGGAAAGCTCATAAAAAAGGCATTATTATTTCCACATAAAGAGTTAAATTTAAAGAATTTCTTTTTTATGTTTAGCTTCTCTTTATGGAAAAGGAGCGCTTTCTATGTTGGCCTACTACTTTAAAAAAGGCCGTGCACTTATTCACATTATTAATAACTCAGTGACTGTTTTTAAAAGAAATTTCACATATTGAAGCTTACTCTTATACAGGGAATATGGTCTTATGAGATAAACAATATGATATTGAACCATTTTTCATGATTTTTTAAAAAGTTAGGCCTTTTACATTTTTTCTATGAATTAAAAAATATTTATGGGATTTTAGAAACCTTAGAATTTATGGTTCTTTTTTTTCTTTTTTTTTTTTAACCCCATCAAAACTCGCAAGCATGGCCATAAACCACAATACGGTTCTTTTAAAACTTAACAAGTCAGTGCTTTTCATAATTTCACTAATCAATTTTACCATTACTTCGTGGCAACTAACATATTTCCTTCAGAAGTAAAAAAGACTTAAATCTATTAGGAGTTTGTACCCTACTTATTATTCTCCTTATTCCCCAATGAGAAGCCTTGGATTATTTGAGAGATGAACTAAACCTCATAGGCCTTATCTCCTCTAAGAAATCTCTGATACTGAGTAAGTGAGGAGCTGCAGATGGAAGGTTTCTCATATTCTTTCCATTTATAGAGTTTCTCTTTAGTGTGAACTTTTTTGTGTCTACAAAGGTTTGATCTGTAACTGTAGGCTTTCCCACATTCCATACATTTATACAGTTTCTCTCCAGTATGGATCCTCTCATGTTCAGTTAAAAATGAATACTGGCTGAAGGCCTTTCCACACTGATTACACTGATACGGTTTCTCTCCGGTATGAATTCTCTGATGTCTATAAAGGTTAGATTTGCAACCAAAGGCTTTCCCACATTCCTCACATGTATAAAGTTTTTCCCCAGTATGAATTTTTCGATGTTCATTAAAGGACGAATACTGGTTGAAGGCTTTCTCACATTCATTGCATTGATAAGGTTTTTGTCCAGTGTGAATTCGCTCATGTTCAATAAGGGTTGCAATACGTGTGAAGGTTCTCCCACATTCCAGGCATTTATAGAGTTGTTCTCCAGAATGAAATCTCTGATGTTCAGCTAGAGATGTAAACTGGCTGTAACCTTTCCCACATTCGCTACATTTGTAGGGTTTCTCGCCTGTATGGATTCTTTGATGCCTGTGAAGTTTTGCTCTACAGTTGAAGGCCTTCTCACATTCACCACATTTATAGAGTTTCTCTCCAGTATGAATTCTCTGATGTACAGTGAGGGTTGAACACTGGCTAAAGGCTTTACCACATTCTCTACAATGATACGGTTTCTCTCCAGTATGCACTCTCAGATGTTTAATAAGGGTTGAACTGTTGCTAAATGCTTTCTCACATTCATTACACTTGTAAGGTTTCTCTCCAGTATGAATTCTCTGATGAGAAAGAAGGGATGATCTGTGGCTGAAGGTTTTTTCACACTCATTACATTTGTAGGGTTTCTCACCTGTATGAATTCTCTGGTGTTCAATAAGATGAAGATTCTGCTTGAAGCTCTTCCCACATTCATTACAGATATGAGGTTTTCCTCCTGGGTAAATTTGGAAGCATTTCATGAGATCAATATTCTGTTTAAAATCTTTCCCACATGTATAAAACATATTGGGTATCCTTTCTACAGGAACACTCTGTTGCAAAACGAGAGCTGTATTTACAAATAAGTTTTTCTCCAATTCAAGACTTGTATGGTTTCCATCTTCACTGATGGTTTTCTCATGCGAAACTATCATTTGCCTAAGAGGTTTCTTTTCTTGCTCCTCTTCTATCCTGCTCTCAAATTCCACAGCTTCTTCAAAGTTAATGTCCCAGTGACCATACTTAATGAATTCTTTCTTCATTATTCCCTGCAATGTTTCTTCTATAAAAATATCCTGCCGATAAGGCAATGCTTCTGTTTCAGGCCAAGCCTTGAAACCTAAAATGCATCAGAAGAATTAATGCCTCCTCTGCTGGAAGAAACAAACTGATGTATCAGTGGGACAATAAAATTGGTAACAGTATATATAAAAGAAAAGTGATATGATCAGATCTCAAATGCTGACTCAAATCTTGGGAAGAACAGGATGGGATATAGGAAAAAGGGGTAAATAGGTTAAGGAGTGGCATGGGAGGATACACTGGACAAATTAACAATGAAAATGAAGAGATGCCACCCAAGGTGTAGTAAAGTTATACACAGAAGAGCAGGCTGAGTAGAAGATATGAGGATACAGAAAAATCTCAAATGATAAGCCCAAGTTGAATACCATGGGATACTCCATTCTATCACCATTTTCCACTCTGCATATACCAGGCAATGAAGCAGGCAGCTTGTCTACTTTCTCGTTCTTCATCTCGTTATAATGTCCCTTTCATTATATTTTCTCTCCATGCTCTCTCTGAAACTCTATACCCAATAATTTTTTAAATATTTGAATTGGTTTTCTTAAATTTCTTTATTTCATGTGACTGTGATTTTATATCATAGTCTGCAAAGGGGGAAACAATCTGTTAAAAAGAGGACAGGCTGGGTGCAGTGGCTCACACCTGTAATCCCAGCACTTTGAGAGTCTGAAGCAGGCAGATCGCTTGAGCTCAGGAGTTTGAGACCAGCCTGGACAACATGGCAAAACCCCATCTCTACAAAAAATACAAAATGTTAGCTAGGCATGGTGGCTCATGTGGTCCCAGCTACTCAGGAGGCTGAGGTAGAAGGATCACTTGAGCCAGGGAGGCAGAGAGTGCAGTGAACTGTGATCATACCACTGCACTCCAGCCTGGGTGACAGAGACTCATCTCAAAAAAAAAAACAAAAAAAAAACAGTCAGGGGACATTCAGGTTTTGAAAATTACAACAGCCCTGCAGCATGACTGTGATGATTATATGTGATTTAAGTTTAGGATGCTCATTATAAAAAAGAGGAAAATATGGAGTAAATCACCCATGTGCAACAATCTAATCCCTGGTGATTGGAAGAATAACAATTTGTTTCATATTACCTTTTTTTCTTTTTTTTGCAATGGAGCCTTGCTCTGTCACCAGGCTAAAGTGCAATGGTGTGATCTCAGCTCACTGCAACCTCCGCCTCCCTGGATCAAGCAATTCTCCTGCTTCATCCTCCCAAGTAGCTGGGACTACAGGCGCACACCACCATACCCAGCTAATTCTTGTAATTTTAGTAGAGAGGGGGTTTCACCATGTTGGCCAGGATGATCTCAATCTCCTGACCTCATGATCCGCCCACCTCAGCCTCCCAAAGTGCTGGGATTATAGGCATGAGCCACTGTGCCCGACCTATATTACCTTTCTTTTTATTTTCCCCTTTTTATTTTATCACAAAGAGAGACATATTCATCTAATAAGCTGCAACCAAAAAACTGCACTATCTTTGTAGGAATCTCTTGAGAATAATGAAAATCTGCAGGAGATTTGAAGTCAATATGTCTTAAAGTCCTGAAATATGCCCAAGCCCCAAGCTCAGCTTTGATTCTCAGTGAACTATTCTCTGTTAAAACCTGATTTCCTTTCATCAATCCATGATAGAAAACAGGTTAACATTAGATAATTACAATTAGGTAATTGTATGTACTTTAACCTATACAACTCAAATAAAATACAACTAACCCTGAGCATCTCAGTATGGCTCCATATTTCCAAGATTTTCCCAAGAACTGCCTCCTTTGTGACCTGCTTATCTATAAAGACTCTCTTGTGCCCATTTCCCAGCCTCTCACTTACCTAGACAGGTATCAGAAGCGACTTCTCCTTCCACCATGCAGGGATCTTGTCCTTGTTGCAACTGATGAATCACCTTTGGCATTGAAAATGGAATCCCTGCTCATGAGGAAGGAAATGAAGTTTGAACAAATAGCATGAAGAGCAATCCAAGAACTCACAGACCACTCACTCTGAACTTACACAGCAAAGAAAGCAAGCCCTGAGAGGCAGAGAAGGCAACACAAGCACTTCTCAGGGGTACTGGAGCTGCCAATGGGTGAGGAAGGTCTCAGTTCAGAAACATGATAGGGCCCTGGCAATGAATGCCTCTAAGATGGGGGGTTCCTAAGTGTTTCTCAGAATCTAAAGTGGGATCTAGTCATTGGCCTACTCCAAGGAGGAAACTTTGATTGGTGGTGGAATGTGAGGGACAGCAGAGGAAGGAGAAACAAATAGCAAGAAAGGCATCACAACAAAAATGTACAGTTTCAACTCTACAGCAATTCAACCTTTCCCAGGGGCTCAATATGGTAAAAAAAAAAAAAAAAAAAAAAAAACTACAGGCTCGGAACCCCAAAGATAGACCTGTGAGGCCTTCCTATAACAGATTCTTCATTATAGGCAGTAATTCTTACCCAGTGAGACCAGAGTGCTGTAGTTCTCCAACATCACCTCCCGGTACAAGGCTCTCTGGGCAGAGTCCAGGTGCAACCACTCATCCTGGCTGAAGAACACAGCCACATCCCTGAATGTCATGGACTCCTGTAATGGCAAACCCATTCCTCTTCATCCAGGACCATCTTCTTCAATGGAAGACGCAGTAAGCAAGTGACAGTGGGATGTATAGCAAGCAATTCAGAAAATCTCAGGATTCTAAGTATTTCACATCAACTATTTAGGTAATTTTTGGAACCACCTATTAACTATTTAAACAAGTATTTATTAAGTACTCATTGGGAACAATGACACATGCCACATGCAGTGGGAGTAGGGGAAATAAGGCAAAGTCCCTGCCAACAAGGAATTTAAGTACCAGCCTGGGATCTTTCTCAAGAGAAGGCAATGTGACAACAGAAGCAAAAACTGGAGTGCTATGCTTGGAAGATGGATGAAAGAACCACAAGCCAGGGGCTACAGGGAAACACTAGAAGGTGAAAAGGGCAAGGAAACAGATTTTCCCCTGACAGCCTCTAGAAGGAACCAGCCCTGTTGACAGCCTGACCTCAAGCCAGGAAAACTGATTTCAGACTTCTGACTTCCAGAACTGTAAAAGAATAAATTTACATTGTTTTAAGATGCTGAGTTTGTGGTAATTTGTTACAGGAGCAATAAGAAAGAAATACAATGTGAACAATTGAAGACAACCTACCTATCTATCAATAAGGAAATGGATAAGCAGATTACAGTATGTTTATTCCATGAAATGTTATGCAGCCTTTAATAGAATTAGGTAGATCTGTGTGACACTGGAATTTGACCTTGACATATTGTTGATTCATATGAAAAAGCCAGCCACAAAACGATCTATATTTGTTGAAAATTCTATATCTGTATATACATATGTATGATGCATACAAAACTCTCTGGAAGAATACAAGCTGTCACCCTCATTATTCTTTGATATTCGTGGAGAGGGGCAGAAAAGCAATCTTTCACTTATTACTTTCTATCCTACCATTAGGCTTACAGTGTTTTACAGTTAGGGAGATTGTGTGTATGTATGTGTGTGTCTTCCTTTGCTTTGAATTTTCTTAAATTTCATTTTAACTTATATGTTGACTTTTTAGTTAGACCTCTTTGCATTTTTAGTGGTTACTCTAATAATTATAATAGTTTTGGTTACTCATCATCTATTTAGAGCTAATATATCATTTCACATTGAATGCAAGAACCTTGCAAGTATCACCACCTTCCTTCTTTATGCTACAGTTGTTACAAAGATTTTTCCCAGTTCATAGAGTTGACAGTACTTAACCAAATTTCACTGAGCATATTCATGTTAAGATTTACCTTTAAAGGCAAAGGGTACAACACAGCAAGAGAAAGAGAGTCCAGGGAAGCACTGGAAAGCCAAGAGATACTCCATGTGCAGTCCCCCTTTATTTGCACAGACCACACTACATCTCTGGATCTGCGTGAAGAATCTTGGTGTGGGAGAGCTCAAAGGAGGAACTCTTAGCAGGGGCCTTCTATGTAATCAAGCAAGCTCTGTCAAATCATTTAGGCCAGTTGCAAGACATCAGTAAGGAGGCTTAAGGGAGTAGCCAGTGTCATTGGGATCTTAAAAATACACAAGCCAGGCAGGGTGCAGTGGCTCACGCTTATAATCCCAGCACTTTGGGAGTCAGAGGCAGGGGGATCGCCTGAGGTCAAGAGTTCGAGACCTGCCTGGCCACCACGGTGAAACCTCGTCTCTACTTAAAAAAAAAAAAAAAAGAAAGGTACAAAAATTAGCTGGGTGTGATGGCGGGTACCTATAATCCCAGCTACTCGGGAGGCTGAAGCAGGAGAATCGCTTGAACCCGGGAGGCAGAGGTTGCAGTGAGCCAAGATCATACCACTGCACTCCAGCCTAGGTGACAGTGGGATACTCAGTCTCAAAAAACAAACAAACAAACAACAATAACAGCAAAAACCCACACAAGCTGATGGCCAGGTTCAGTGGCTCACACCTATAACCCTAGCACTTTGGGAACCCAAGCTGGGCGGGCTGCCTGAGCTCAGGAGTTCAAGACCAGCCTTGGCAACATGGTGAAACCCCAACTCTACTAAAAATACAAAAAATTATCGAGGCATGGTTGTACGCACCTGTAGTCCCAGCTACTCAGGAAGCTGAGGCATGAGAATTGTTTGTACCCAGGGAAGCTGCAGTGAGCCAAGATCACACCAGTTCACTCCAGCCTGGGCAACAGAGGGAGGCTCTGTCTCAAAAAAAAAAAAAAAATTCAAGAATCCCCAGAGATAAAAATAGAGCTTTTCCAGAGAAAAAGAGGGAGCTTTCCCAGTCCAAATATGTATGTATGTGTGTATGATGCATATAAAACTTTTATGTTATGTTTACATTATCAGATGTAAATAAATTCTATCTTCACAGTTGTTATTTGCACTATAGCTACCTATGTTGTAAACCCTCTACCATAATACAATAGTATTATTTTGCTTTAAGCAGTCAGCTGCATTTTAAAGAAATCGAGAGAAAAAAAAGTATTTTATATTTTCCAGATAGCTACCATTTCTAATGCTCTTCATTCTTTCTAAAATCAGAGTTCCCATCTGGTATATTTTTCCTTTAACTTGCATAACTTCCTTTACATATCTTGTAGTGCAGGCCTGCTGGCAATGAATTAGTTTAATTTTATTTTACTTGAAAATGCCGTTATTTCATCTTCATTCTTGAAGAGTATTTTCATTGGATGTAGCATTCTGGGTTGAATTTTTTTTTCTCTTTCAGCATGTAAAATGTCATTCTAGCCGGGCGCGGTGGCTCAAGCCTGTAATCCCAGCACTTTGGGAGGCCGAGGCGGGTGGATCACGAGGTCAAGAGATCGAGACCATCCTGGTCAACATGGTGAAACCCCGTCTCTACTAAAAATACAAAAAATTAGCTGGGCATGGTGGCGCGTGCCTGTAATCCCAGCTACTCAGGAGGCTGAGGCAGGAGAATTGCCTGAACCCAGGAGGCGGAGGTTGCGGTGAGCCGAGATCGCGCCATTGCACTCCAGCCTGGGTAACATAAGTGAAACTCCGTCTCAAAAAAAAGAAAAAAAAAAAAAAATGTCATTCTATTGCTTCCTGGTCTTCATTGTTTCTGATGAGAAGCCATTGGTCATTCAAATATTGATTATCTGCATGTAATACAATTTTTTTCTGCCTGCTTTCAAATCTTTGGTTTTTGTGATTTCTCTAACTTTTCCCAATGTGGTAGAGACCAGCTAGCTACATGTGGCTACTGAATACGTGAAATGTGGCTCTTCTGAATTGAGATATGTTATCTGTATAAAATATATACTAGATGATTTACTTAAAAGTATATACACACACACACAACATATACATACATACGCAAACATATATGAAAGTTATCTCAATAACAATTTTATATTGATTACCTGTGGAAATAATATTTGGATATACTGGGTCAAAGAAAATACATTATTAAAGTTAATTTATTTGCTTCTGTTTAGTTTTTAATGTGGCTAGTGGAAAATTTTATATCAGGTATGTGGCTTGCACTCCTGATTCACACTATATTTCTACTGCATGCCACTGGTCAATGATGTGTGTAGCTATGACTTCCTTTGTATTTATCCTGCTTGAGATTCATTAAATGTTATAAATTGTAAATTTATGTTTTTTACCAAATTTGAGAAACTTTAGGTCATTATTTCCTTTTAATATATTTTGCCCCAGTCTCTATCCCCTCTCCTTCTAGAACTCTAATTTCATGTATATTAGATCTTTTACTATCATTCAGTTGGTAACTGAGACACTTTTTTCTCTGTTTTTCAGATAGGATAATTTCTATCAATCTATCTTCAAGTGTCACTGACTCCTCCTTATGTTCATTTCCAAAAATTAAGCCTATACAGTGATTTTTTTTTATTTTACAATTTCAGGTATTTTATTTTTCAGTTCTAAAATTTCATAGTCTAGAATTACTTTTTTTCACAGTCTCTATTTCTCTGCTTGCATTTTGTATTGTTTCATTCTTTACATGTATATTTTCCACTAAGTCCTTGAGCACAGTTATAATAGCCATTTTAAAATCTTTATCTGTGAATCTCAACATCTGGGTCATCTGAGTCATGGTCTCCATTTTTTATCTTCCTCTTGAATTTTGGTTGTACTTTCCCATTTCTACATAGGCCTACCTCATCCTGGAAGTTGGATAGTTTACAATGTAGAAAATCTGGATTTTGTTAGGTTCCTTTGAAGAGTACTGATTTTTTTAAGCAGGTAGTCAATTTTGTTGGACTTAAATTCCAAACTCGGACACCCACCTCTCTAGTGGGCAGCATTGAATATCTCTTTTCAATTCTTATTTGGGCTACTTTGAGTCTGTCCTGTGCATGTATGGTTCAGGGGTCAACTAGAGATTTAGGCAGAGGTTGTGCACAGAATTTGGGGCTCCCCTTCTCCGCCTCTCTCCTTTCCAAAATTCCCCCTCTCACATTCCAATTGCTAAGTTTGCCTCAAATTCTACCTTGTGATTCTTCACACCAGTAAGACTGCAGATTTGTGACCAAGTTTTGATCATTCTGTTGGTGCTGAGTGTGGCCTACTCCCAGGCAAACAGCTGTAAAAACTGGAAAGTTTATCTGGTGACAATTCCTTCTTTCAAATATACACAGGTGTCCAGTATCTGTCTGCTTCTGATTTCTCTCTAGTACCTTCAGGTTTCTTATATTTTATCCAGAGTGTAGTAGTAATCCACAGATGAATTAGTCTGTAAGGAGCTATTTCTCTATTACCAGAAGTTGGAAGCACATGTATTTTCTTGAAAATATATTTTAAAAACTCAGTGAGCCTAGCAAAGCTCGTTAAATATTAAGAAATAATAAAATGACAGACTCCTAGAACTACAGACCTCATAGACATCTCATCAGTCATCTTATCCAGTTGTTCTCATGGATGTGTGGTATCTCCCCCTACCTCCCCAGAGTAAGTGGAAATGTGTGAGGGTGTTTCATTTCTCACGGTGAGTAAGGGGGTCCTACTGGCATTTAAAAAAAGAGATCAAGGCTGCTAATCATCTGGAAATGGAC